GGCGGCCGCGGCCGCGGCGGCGGGCTTGCACGGGTCTGGGTAACCCGCGGGGGTGCTGAGCCCCCAGGTGCTCGCGTCACTCGGGTAGCTCGCCGCCACGCTCTGCCGCCCGGCGCCCCCCGCCGCTGCCGGAGACGGCAGCGCGGCCGTGCTTGCCTCGCCGCTGCTCCCGACGCCGCCGCCGCCGCGCAGCCCCGGGACGCTGAGCGCGGGGGGCCCCCTCGAGAGGAACCCCGCCGGCGCCGGCGGGGAAGCCGACGAGAAGCTGCCGGCCCCGCGCTTGCTCTCGGGGCTCTGGCCGCGCACGCGGGCGGCGCCGTCCGGCAGCAGAAACCGCCCGCGCCCGCGGGCGGCCCCAGCCTCCTCCGCCCCCTCGTCCTCCTCGTCGTCCCCTTCCTCCTCGAACCCACAGCTGCTGTCGTCGCTCGACCGCCGCCCCCCGAATCCCGGCCTCGCCGCCGCCCCCGACACCGCCTGGCTCCCCGCACCGCCGTCGACGCCGTCACTGCTGACCCCGAGGCCCGGCTGGGGCGCGGGGCCGCGCATGGCGCAGGGCTCCCCAGGGGAGCTGGGTGCGAGGGCCATGATGTTGCCGTACTGCAGGTCGTTGTGGCACACCGCCACCCATACAGGGTGCGATGACGTCAGCAGGCGCTCCAGCTCGTCGATCTGAGATTGCGAGACGCGTGGGCGCGGATCACAGACGGTTTGGTTACTTTTTAGGGAGGTAGGGAAGCCTCCGGTGGCTGCGGAAGCTGAAAGGGTGTGTGCGGCGAAAAGAGAGCGGTGGCGTGCGCGTGCATCAAACAGCACGAATGCACGGGTCCACTAGGCGGCAAGGGCGGGGCTTGCGAGCGTGGAGACAGCGACGAGGCATGAGCGGGGCGCGCAGGAGTGCGCGGCGCGGGGCCACCCGCTGGCCAGGGCGCGGGGGCGTTTTGCTCGACCCCTTGAAAGGGCCCCGGGGCCGTGAGCTGGACGCAGTGATCACCTCGGAAGCCAGGCAGTCGGTCCCCAGCCACGAGTGCAGCTCGTCCCGCCCCCAGATCTTCTGCGCGATGCGCAGCCACGCCCTCAGCCGCGCCCACAGCAGGACTGGGGCCGCGGCGGCCGCAGTGTCGTCTTCCGCAGCCTTGGCCTCTGCGCCCGCAAGCAGATCAGACTGCCAAGGTGGTGTTGTGGTTGCAGTCGGTTATATTCTCTTGACTCATGCTGTGCGAGCGTTGTATTGCAGGCTCCCTCGACTGCTCAGACCCCCCGTGAATGCGACAAGCAAGAAGGACTCTGTCGCCCGAAGCACCCCTGCGCCCCACTGTTGCGAAGCACCCCTGCGCCCACGCGTCAGCGCACGGGATCGCCCCGCCTCCTTTCTTAGCCTCGGTCACCCATCCGGCTCACTGACGCCCGCCCTGCCTCGCTCCCACCCCGCCGCCTTGCTGCCTCACCCACCCCCACACCCACCCCCACACCCACCCCCCTCTCACCACTTTGATGTGGAATGCGGCCAGGGCGCCCGCGATGGCCTCGCTCACTTGGGGGTCTGGTAGGTCGTGGGCCGACAGTGTCACGTACCTGGCGGGTGGTGGTTGGTGGTGGTTGGTGGCGGTTAGTGGTGGTGGTTGGTGGTGGTGGTGGTCGGTGGTGACGGTGGTTGATTGTGTTGGTGGTGGTCGTTGGTGGCTCAGGAAATCGAGTGACAAGTGGTGGTTGTGGTAGTGATAGGGTTTCCAAGGAAAAGGAGGGGGCTAGGTGGTTGCGGGCAGCAGGGTGCGTCATTGTGCTGGTCACGCCAGCGGCTGCCGATAGGGGCGTCAACCCCTGCCGCAGAGCAGCAGCCGATTCGCCAGCCCGGCTGCTGCTGTCCTCAGCCCTGGAACAGTGCCCTGGTCGTGCAAAAAGCAGGGAAGGCCTCCCCCCCCCTGCGGGCGGCAGCCGCTGCTGCAGCCGGAGCAGTTCCAGCATCCGACGCCCATCAACGGGCCCGCCCATTACTACCCGGGCCCCCATCTCCCCCTTTCCCCAGTTCGCTCACTCGACCAGGAACTCCTCCAGCCGCCCGTTCTGGAACAGCAGCAGCAGCTGCGGCCCCAGCCCCGCCGACGACACCGCGCTGAATGTAGCTATCTCCTCCCGCCGGTCGAACAGGCTCATGTCCCCCCCCACGCCGTCGTCGATCCCGTCGCCGCCGGAGTGGGCGGCGTCATGATTGAGCGCCTCCGCCTCGGCCGCCGTCAGGCGGCTGGCGACGGGCGAGCCGGGCTCGCCAGGACCCCCGTTTTGCTGGGGGCCGCCCGCGTTGCCCTCCGCGTCGTCGGCGTCGTCGCCGGCGGCGGCGCCGCGGTTGGCGTGGATGCGGGCGAGGACGACGCGCTCCTCCACGCCGCGCGGCGCGAGGGCGCATCGGTACACCAGGTTTGCTGCGGCGGTGGTTGTTTGTGCGGGTTGGGGCAGGATCCAGGGTTGGGGGTTGGGGCTGAGGGTGAACAAAGGGAGGGTTGTGCGGGGACTGGTGAGGGAGAGGATTGCCGCAGGATGGGAGAGAGTGGATTGAAGTCATGGGGGGGGGGGCAATTGCGACAGGCCCCGGCCGCAAGGTGGTGGGGGTAGGAGGGCGCGGATGGGGGTACTTGTGCGGGTGCCCCTTTGCGCGTGCCGAAAAGGGACATAAGGAGGAGAGTGGAGGCGCAGCTCTTGGTTTTGTGTTCAGCGGAGGCCGGGCACAGCGCTTGCAGAGACAGAGTCAGGGAGGCGAGCCCTAGCCCCAGCAGCAGCTGGGCGACCGCGCGCGACGCGCGCACGCCATTCTTCCTTGGAGGCCGTGCACGGCCAGTCCCAGCGCGTGTCGGCTCACTCATGGCGCCTGACAGGCGGCATGCAGAGATGTCCGCCAGCTGCGCCGCCCCCCACCCGCCAGGCAGCATTCGCAGCGCTGGCAGCAGCGCCTCCTCGGGGTGCTCCAACAGCAGGTCCACGTCCACGGCGACATCCGCAGTGCTGCTGGCGTCTCCCTTGTTGGCAACTTCAGCACTCGCGGGCTCAAGGACCGCGGTCTGCATGTTTGCTCCGATCTTGTCAGTCACACGGCATCGCACTGAAAGAGTGTTGATCCGACGCTATATCCAGCATAGCGCGCCTACCACAGCTCGTGAACCACGCTCATGCAGCAGCATGGGGCGGCGGGTGACGCGGTGACGCTTTCACTGCGAGCAGGTCTGCATGCGTCTGCTCGGCACCTATGATGGCGTGGACTGTGGATAATTGTACTTTTATGTGGATGGAGTCCATGGCACACCTATTTGGACCGTCGACGCATAGTCAAACCCAGTTCAAACTGCAGTCCAAGCACGAATCCATGCGTCACATGGCTTGCCGCGCGGCACATGACTGCACTGCCAGACCATGCACAATGACGGAATATTACAGTGGCAGCATGATATGATTAGCAGTGCATCATGCATGATGCATGGCAGGCGCCCCTCCACACCTGGGGAGGGAGCACCGGCTCCCACAGGCCCAATGCATAAGCAGGCCGCCCGCATCACGCGCATACTGCGCATGACATCCTTGGTACAGAAACATGCAAACAGACAGCATGCTTGTTGCCACAGAAGGCATCACAAGGAGGGGCACGTTAGAGCCAAGTCAGCGTTGACCTTTCTTTGCAAAAGCGTACTGGATCGCAAGTGGCACAAAGCATACAATCACCAATAACCCAAAGTATGAGTAATGGTGTTCCCATTAAAAACAGCCATCGTGGCCGTGCACAGCTGAGACAGTGCGTTTTGCCTGTTCGGCAGGCATGGCAGCTCTCAGAAGAATTTGGCGCTCAGGAGCCCTGCGTACTGCACTGCCCGGCATCATCCGGCGGCAGAAGAAGTGTGACATCAAACATAGCATCAGCCCCGGCATGGCAAAAGCTCGTTACAGGTTCCACTGCATTGCACGTCACCCCAGCGTTGCAGTGATGCCTGACATACAGCTGGCGTGTTGACAGTCGCCACATGGTCACGCAATGGGACTGCTCGTGCTTGTGAAAACGCCTTCATAATTGTTTCGTGTGTGCCTGGAACCACTCAAGCTCAGCCTCGAGCGCCGAGTCGCAGAAGAACAGGGCAGCACCGCAAGATCAAGGCCGCAGCCCGTGCTGAATATTCAATTGTGTATATCAAAATATACAAAGCTACTATGAGCATGCAGCAGAGCGTCAGGCCGCAACTCGCCGCGGGTGGCCGTGGCACCGGCGCGTCGCACCGCAGCTCCCGCCACACAATGGCGCGCCGCAGGCCAATCCTCCGCGCGCACAGGGGTAGCAATGCAGCAGGTTTATCAAGCACCAGCAGCTTGAGCCGCGGCATATCTGATTTACAAAGCGTCGTCACCAGTGGCAGCAGCAGCAGCAGCAGCACCCGCATGAGCAGCAGCACAAGCACTAGCAACCGGCGGGCTGCGTGCATCTCCCTCCTTGCCGGGGCGGCGGCTGTCGCCTCCGCACTCGCCCCGCCGTCCGCACGCGCCGCCGCCGCGGCAGCGGACGGCGCGGCGGCCGTGGAGGAGCAGGCGTATGCGGCCTACGCCGAGCGGCGGTTCGCGGAGGCCGTGCGGCTGCTGGACTCGATAGCAGAGCCGGACAACCCCCGGTGGCTCGAGATGCGGGCACAGGTGCGCGGCGGGCGCTGATTCGCCAGTTAGAAAGCCAGCAGACGTCGACACCCGCAGCTGTCATAAACCTCAACAGCAGGCGGAGTGTTTGAAAGGGCGGCAGGGGGCTTCGTGGGGTCGGGGGCTGCGGGTCTGCAAGCTGAAGAGGTACTTTGCATCGATGGCAGCTGCCTCGATGACTACACACAATCCAGGTCAGCGGACCCACCCAAGAACTCATCACCTGACAAAAATTCTTCCAGGTGCTGGTGGATGGGAAGGATTTTGAGGGGGCGGTCAGGGACTACGGGGCAGCCCTGCGGCGCAGTGAAGGTGTGCGCGGTAGCCCCAGCACCGACGCGGGATGGCGTGGGGGCCTCACATGACATGGACCCCTCGACGGTGCTGCAGGCGCGGTTGTGGGTGCCTATGAACGTGCTGTCAGCGCAGACTTTGCCATCGGCCGTTTGCAGCTGGCCCGCATGCTGCCCGCAGCAACAGCATCAGCCCATGCCGACCCGCATCTCCCCGCCCCGGCGCGGCCGCCCGCGTCCACAATGCAGAGGCCGGCGCGCCGCTGACCGACCGCGCGCGCCTGCTGTCGGGCCGCGCGCTGGCCTACGAGGGCCTGTCAAAATGGGCGGAGGCGCTGGCGGACTACGACGCGGCGATGGCGCTGGCCGCCGCGGGGGGCGAGAGCCCGGATCCCTATGTTATCAACGCGCGCGGCAACTGCCTCAACTCGCTGCGGCAGTGGCGAGAGGCGCGAGAGGAGTACCTGGCAGCAGCCGGTGCGCGCGGCCGGAACCGAGGCCAGGGCCGGGCTTTGTGGGTCGGGCGGGGGGCGGGGCTGCGGCGTGGGGCCGCGCGGACAGGGCCGGGTGTTTGGGCCCGCACCAGGGGCGTGGACGAGGGTGCTGCTGCTGCTGCTGCTGCTGCTGCTGCTACTGCTGCTGCTCCCGCTTCTGCTGCTGCTGCTGCTGCTGCTGCTGCTGCTGCTGCTGCTGCTGCTGCTGCTGCTGCTGCTGCTGCTGCTGCTGCTGGCACCTCCCTGAGTCCTGAGCTGCCTGCAAACGCCGGGTGGTGCAGCTCCCCTCAGCAACTACCAGCTAAGGGCTTGCTCGCCAGTCGCTCCCCCGCCCGTCCACGCGCCCCTCAACCCTGCCGCCCCTCTCGACCCCAACCCCCACCAGACGTCTTCCAGGCGAGCAGGGGCTACCGCGGCCGCAACGGCAACACTACGGCGCGGCTGGACGGCGCCATATTTGCAGTGAGAGCCCACGACTGGGGTGGGAGCGGGGCTCGCCAGCCCTGGCATCCACCCTCACAGCCCGCAGCCGCGCGGCTGCGCAGCCGTGTGGCACGCTCTGTTTCCACGACATCACATCTGGGCTTGACATTCAGAGCCGTACATTACTTCATACAATGTCATCCATCGCCTGATGCAGCACTCCTCTTGGATCGTCCCCAACCCAATCCCGTGACTTCACAAACCCAGGCCTCCAACGCGGCTCTGATGCTGGCGGAGATGGGGGACGCTGAGGGCGCAGAGGCCGAGATGAGGCGCATCGCGCGCAGGTGGGGCCGGTGGGGCGAGATGCTGCTGGGCACGCCGCCTCCTTATGGCAGGCTCCTCATGTTGCCGTGAAGCTGCAAGCATCAGCGTGTGCCAATCGGGCGCAGCTGCGGTTTCCAACACCTGCAAGCAACAGTGTCACTAGCAGGGTTCTGGCAAAGCAAACCCTTTTGGTTGAGTGCTTTCATCAGCCATCCACAACCCTGTCCCCTCAGGGCCCCTGGATCGGCGGACATGCGCGTGGCCCTGGCGGCGCTGCTGTGGCAGCGGGGGCTCGACGCAGACGCAGAGGAGCAGTGGCAGGTGATGCTCCCCACCGCTGTATGCTGGCTGTTCTGAGGCGCTGCCACGCGTCATCAGCAACATCAATATGGCAGCCTCATCACATACGGGCTGAGAGCAGGCGTGCCTAAGCACGGCAGCATGCACAATCCACGCGCACGGCTGCCTGATGCCTACGGCACGCCGAGCTGCTGCTGAGCGCCGCCAGGTTGTCACATGCGCCTCTCCGCGTCGACTAATCCGTGACGCCCGCTGGCGCCACCTCCCTGCACCCGCCCGACTTCCGCGCGGCCTCCCCGCAGTACGCGTGCGACCGCATCACCGTGGGCTGCCGCAAGTACACCGACGCCGACTGGCTGTCGCGCGTGAGGCGCTGGCCGCCGTCCATGGTCGCGGCTCTGTCAGACTTTCTCTCCCTGAAGCACAGCTGAGCAGGCGGTGTAATCATGCACTGACTGTGACGTGCTTTTGCCAGACGCGCAGTCCTTGCCTTGGGTTGGCATGTGCGAGGCGTTTGCGATCGGCATGCCATGTCCGTAACAGGTGCAAGTACAGTCATGAAGCTTACATGCTGCAAGTTGCATTGTGGGATCCAACTCAGTGGTCGAGGCGAACTGTAGGCAGCTGCTAGCCAGCCTGAGCGATGACAAGACACAAAGCTGCCTGGGCAAAACCGTACCGCGGGGAAACGAATGGGCGGGCGCTTCTGTGACGAGGTGTTGCCAACAAAGCCCATGCATCGGCGGCCAGGTGCAAGAGGGACGTAGTGTTGACGGCAACCAGTTGTAGCACAGCCGCGTGTTGTCAGGATTGGGAGTGCCACTGCTGTGCAGTTGTGTGCAGCAGTGGGCGTGCGGCGTCCCTTGCTGCCAACCCCCCTGTTTATTGCATCTCGTCTTTGCGGCTTCCCCTGATTTAGTGAGCAAGCTTGTGAGAAATTGGATGGCTGCCGCAAGAAAAGGGTGGCTCCGTTCTCCAAGTAACCAGTCGCGATGGCTTGCAGCACCCTCCCTGGCACCTGCGTGTGGATT